ATTTAAAGTTTTAAAAAAACTTACTAAAAACAATTTGCCTAGTTTCTACTAACACCCCCAATTATAAAATTCCTGCATCGACTCAATTAGTAATCAATATTATAAGTTTACACATGAATCCAAAATATTGGGAAGAACCAATGAAATTTAATCCCTCAAGATTTTTATCAAGTAATAACTATATCAAAAATAATGACACTTTTAACAAAAACAAAAATACATTAATGAATTTTGTTGGAGGGTTGCGCATATGTCCTGGTAAGTAATTAGCCATAATTCAACTTAAAATATATTGGTTGTTTTACTATACAGTAAATATAAATACTAAGGATCCTTCAACATGAAATAATATCAACACTCAATGCAATGAATTACAAATTAGAATTAAGTGTAGAAGATAGATATTATAATAATTATCTTTGTTGGATAACAAGTTAAATTACATAACTTACGTCTAATGATAGGAAAATGGGTTAGACGCGTTATCAATCTAGATCAGAGGTCTAAAAAATTTTTTAGGGGTTTGCATTATTAGTTAAGGTTAGGGTTCGAACTAGTATTAAAATTAAAGTTAGAGAGCATATATATATGCAAAATTAAGCACTAAAAACTTTTATTTTGGTCAATCATATTAATCTGCGATATAGCAGCCTGTGATATTTAACAATATCCTATTTTATTTAATCAATGCTTAGGCAATTACTATTTATACACTAGTGTATATACACGTATTGTTGTTTCTCAAAATTTCGATTATGAAACCACCTTTTGGCTTCTAACAAAAAAATTCCTAGCAAAATTTTGGTATAAACTAACCCTCACCCTAATCCCAAACCTCACCTTTACTCTAGCTATAAGCAAGGGTTTAATTTTTCGGTTGTAAAAATTTTGATTAGCATGCTACACGGATTTACAAAATAATACCCGTGTCTATACTTTTAGTTTAAAGCATTAAATGATATAAAAACACAAATCTCAAACTATTATAGTTTGGGATTGTTCACGCTCAAATCCAAACTCTGGCCAAGTTGATTTCTTAAAAACTTTATTAAGAATATTTATTTAAACAGTGGTATAAATTCTTATAGTTATATAATATATTTGCAAAGTAACAAGATTATTCTTTTTTTTTAATTTTTATAATGTATTTTAAAAATATTTGAAAAAATATATAAATTTAAAATTTATAAAAGAAATTATTAGGATCTTTTATTAGAAACTTACATTATTAACCGTGGAATCTCCTAAAAATGACCAGCAAAATGCAATATATTAGTTTAAACAATCATTGATGAATTAGCATAACAATTATAATCAACAATATTATTAACTTACTAAGTTTGAAGTAAATTTTGTTGCTATTTTCTATAAATTACTTAATATTAGAATTTGTATAAATATTAATTTTTCATAATACTTAAATTCATTAATACTGACCTGAAGTAACGTTAATTGGCTTTGATGAAATTTTACCAAAATTGTGAAGACGGCTTGTAGACATTGCCGCTTTGAACTTTTGTTCTTTAGTTAAACTAATTTTTGGCATAGAAATATTATAGAATTTTTCCTCAGAAAACTTATCGCCTTTTTCTGTAACTTTATCTACGGCTTCAATAAGCTTTATTCGTAATTCACGAATTTTTCTCCAAATTGTTAAAATATCTGGTCTCCTTTCTGGATACGCATCCCAACATTGTTGCATTAATTCTTTATATTCTTGTGGCATTCCAATATTTATATCTGGACGCATTCCATTAATAACTGCTAATGCAAAATCTTTATCAAGATTTACATCATTGAACGGAGGTACTTCGACCGCAATCTGCCACATAATTATTCCAAAACTGTAAATATCAGCTTTTTGAGTATATGGTTCTCCGTATATAGTCTCAGGTGCTATGTATGGAAGACTGCCATAATTAATATGCAAAGAATTATCGATGGACCTACAAAATCCTAAGTCACTAATAAAAAGTGCCAAATTATTTTGTATTAAAATATTTCCTGGATGTAAATCTCCATGAACATGATTTTTGTAGTGTATCGCATTTAAGCAGGCTGCTATTTCATAAATAATATCAAATTTTTGTTCCCAGTCTATTTTCTTTCCACCATTAATACCATTATCGATTAAGAAGCGTTGTAAATTAGACTCCATTACGTTTAAGACCAACATAAAATTGCCAGTTTTAGGATATCTAGTTATCCCATAGCAAGGAAGAATATATTGAGCGATTTTGTCAATATAGGTATGAGATGTGATCTAAATTTATTTAGTAATCCGAAAATTGGTAAATACAAAATTCTTAAAGTGATAATCAAGAACAGAAATCTTTATTTACCTCGTCGAGCCACTCACCATCCCCTTTGCTAGAACCTATTAACTCCTTTAAAACGATCATTTGTGTTCTATCAAGTCTTTCTAATGATTTTGATATGGGATTCCATTTGTTATAATACCCATTTTTCCATACTGCTTTATAAATCGAAGCGAAGCCACCATCAGTAAGATATTGAACATCTTCAATATTTTCATATGGTATCCATTCAATAATTTGAAATGGGCAAATTACATTTTTTTGAGCTTCTTGAATTACTTTATTAACTTTATCGTTACCAGAATTCCATTTATCAAAATTTCGCTCCAAATAGTCCCGAATGCAAAATTCGCAATATTGAGTGGCACATGTTAAATGGTTACAAACTTCACATCTCCTTTTTTCGTTAGTCTGATTTTCTAGATTAAATTTATCTTGATATTCCATAAGTTTATCTTTCAGGTATTCTTTTTCATTATCTTCAAAAGAATTATCATTATCAAATCTATCTTGGAGCAATTTACAATGCTCTTCAAGAACTAATGGATAAGATTCTAAACTCAATAATGACCTCCATAATCTACGAAAATGTCTATCTAATTTTATCCGATCTATATTACCATAGTCTTTGATTGTAGTTGATTCTGCAGGTATTACTGGATCCGATTCATTATCGTTAATATGAGATTCGTTCATGATTTAAAATTTTCAATATAACACGTCAGCTTGATTTAACGATTAGTCGGTACAAAAATTTAAAATATTATTAACGATAAAATAATAAGTTATATAGTGATTTTGACCCACTTAGAAATAATTGGTACAGAGGACCTCCCCAAAAAATTTCCGCATTCTACTGTACTACAATTAATATTAATTAAATAAATATTAAAATAATAAAATTTTTGGAAAAAGAAAAAGAAAAATTTCTATTATTCAAATATTTACTTAATAACAAAGCAACATTGAATTACGTATCATAAAAATTCTTTCGATAACGTAATAGTATTAATCGGAGTACAGCGGGAATGCTGAAATTTTTGGGGATGCAATTCTAATAAGCATGGTGGACAAATCTCGTAGCACAAACTTCCCAGGGTCGATCTGCCCAATAAATGTATAAAGGATATCTCACAATCCAGCAGTCAGAATCTGATGCCATTTGATTCATTTCATTGAGACGGTATAAAATTATTAAATCCCACCTACCGGATCTTCGATCTCATATAAAATTTGTTTCTATAATTTTGGGATTATTTTTAATAAAATGTAGATTTTGAGTGCTTTTTTTGTCACTTTGTTTTTTTAATGTATTTATTTGGTAGGCTTTGAAAAATCACAAAAATAAAGCGTACTTTAACGCATACAAAAAGTTCAAAAAATTTTTTTATTCAATTGTGCTGATCATTTCCAAACTCGAACTTGTCCACCATGCTACTAATATGAATCATGCGATACTATATAGTTATGTTTGTGCAAGTAGAAAAATAAAAATACTTTGCACACTCTAAAAAATTTATACTGTAACCATCGTAAGTGAGAGCTTGGTACCGTCATGTCCATGGTTGACGTTAGAAGGTTACATGAATTAGGCAATAAATTATGGCATTCGGATATTCATGATTTATTAGGCATTTATTATAAAAAGAATGTGAATACAGTATATGTGAACTTTATTTATAGAAGAATTTTGGAGAGTGAATGTTATTCTCAACTAAGGATGAAGACACACTCTTTTATACATTCTAATTTTACAGATTGCCAACATAGGGATCTCAACGCTTACGCTGTAGATTCCACATTTGCTCAAGGCGCAATGTTACAAATTTATGCAATCGCGTATACGCGCTATTTTGAGCGTAGACACGCTTGCATGAATTAAACCACCCAGAAAATATAATAATGCCTAATACTGTTAAGATTAACATGACTATGATAGTACAACTTAAAGAATTAGACAAATACGGAAGTGATGAGACACAGGAAAAATTAATCGTTACAAGTAACTTTCATTTTGAATTTGAACACTGCACAGCAATATCATTTTGTTCGTATTGGATTGCTTTTATTGTACGTTAAATAATCCGCAGTTAAAATTTATACATTTATAAAAATTTTTAATCATACTCAAAATTGAAAATTTAAGATGTCTGAAAATACGAAATATGATCCGCATTTAAAGAGCAAGCATAACGAAAAAATTTTTAAAATAGTTAACGATGTAGCTACGCCATTTTTTCCTTTTATTGGAGCGATCACGAATACTCTTAAATCGCTGTTAAAAACTTTTAGAAATGCAAAGTGTAACCGTAAAATTTGTTCAGCTTTGATAGATCGAGTTAAAATCGTTAAGGTAGCTGTTGAATCTTTACAACGAGAACAGCCAGGTAATGAAGTATTCTTTCAAAAGCAGGCTTCCTATGAAGCGTGGATCAGATTTACCGCTGTTTTAAAAAATATTGAGAAATTTGCCGAGCAAGTCACGCAATTACCAACGGTACGAAAGACTTTTCACAGTGGTGGTGAATCAATTAAAGAGACATTTGATAAAAACATTAAAGAGTTTGAGGAAGTTTGTCACGAATTACAATTTGTTTTAGCTATTTACAGTCATGCACAAAGAGAAATGGAATCTGAAAAAATTATTTCGGATATTAAAAATTTAACTCAGGTAAACGGTTAATAATTTTTATTATTTATTTATGCTTATGTAGCTAATCTAAATTATGAAATTAGATTATGAATAAGTTCAAGGATGAAGTAATGAATAACTTAATCCAAATAAGCATATATAAGAATTGTTTGGAACAGCCGAGGATAGAAGGCAACATAAATGATTCTCATGGTATAGACCCTCTAAATATTAAAGAATGCAACAGGTTCAAAGATTCTATTTTTAAAGGAAATTATTTTGGAACTCAAGTTGTGTGTAAAAAAATACCTTATAATGAGAAAATCCGTGATATATCACATGCTAATAATATAGTCAAGACCGATAAGATATACCGAATTCAGTTGGCTATTTTGTCTAAACTAAGTTCTTGTCCACATATTATTGGCTTTCATGGATATTCTATTGTAGATGATAGCTTGGCCATAGTACTTAACTGGGCGGAGAATGGAAATCTGAAAGAACTATACACAAATAATTCAATCGATTGGTATACTAAATTAAGATTTGCTCGCGATATATGTGAAGGTCTTGCATTTATACACGGATGTGATATTTTACATCATGATATTCGTTGCAAAAATATATTGGTATGTGAAAAGTACGTTTTTTTCAATTAAATATTCATATTATTAATCGTTATATTCATATTGAAAAGGTGACTGAAAATTATAAAATTAAAATTTCAAATTTCGACATTAGTCGTCCAAAAAATGCCAAAAGCATAGGAATACCGGATATTTCATCCATAAGATGGTTAGCTCCTGAAAAAATGTGTGATATTGATAAAGAGAACAATTTAAATAAATATTACAACTGTTTTGTACAATACGATCATAGATGTGAAATATTTAGGTATATATATTTCATAAATTTATAACTATATTATTTAGATAAATCTAATTACTTTTTCCTTGTTCATAGTTTTGGAATGCTTCTTTGGGAACTCTATCATGAAAAAATCCCCTACAAAAATATAGCCTCATTGATTGAAATTCAGAAACATGTTAAAAGCAATAAAAGAGAAACTATAGGAAGAATTCTTTGTCCACATTCAATTCCTGAAAAATTCGTTGAAATAATTAAAAAGGGTAAATATTGTATTTATAACAGATAATGAATTATATTCGATTTAAATATCTAATTACCGAATATATAATATTTAAGCTTGGGACAATGATCCTTCTAAACGACCAATTGCCATAGAAATGTTAAAAATTTTTAATGAACTTTATGATCAGTACGTTCCTGGGATGCTTTCTCCTAAGATTAATCCTAAAGATCCACGTAACAGTGACAACTTGGGTAATATTCCATTCAGTAAAGGCATAGAGGCTCATGAGGAAGAAAAATACGAAGTTGCCTGGAAATGTTTTTCTAATCATGCTGATGAAGGTAACAATCACGCGAAATATTGGAAAGGATATTATCTGTTAAATGGGTACTATGTTAATAAAAATATCGAGGATGCTCTTAATCTCTTTAAAGAAGCAGCTAATAATGATGTTGTTGAAGCTCAGTTTAGATATGCGTCTACCTTACTTGAAACAAAACCGAGTAGATCTTTTGAAATTCTCAGTTATATGACAAAGGCTGCGAATAACGGACACGTTATTGCTCTTTATTATTTAGGTGATATTTATATGAATGGAAAACTTGGGGTACAAAATAAAGAGATCTCTATTGGATATATGAAAGCAGCTGCTTCAAAAGGTAATCCTGAGGCAATCAAATTTTTAAAAGATTTGCAATTTAAAGAAATTGAAGATGGTATAGAAGCCCACAAGTATAAAAACTATGAATTTGCCTGGAAATGTTTTTCCGACCATGCTGATGATGGAAATAATTGTGCAAAGTATTGGAAAGGATATTACCTGCTAAATGGATACTATGTTGATAAAAACATCATTGCTGCTCTTAACCTTTTTAAGGAAGCAGCTGATAATAATGTCACTGAGGCTCAATTTAGATATGCATCTGTCTTAGTTCAAGTAGATCCAAATAGATGTTCTGAAATTCTTAGTTACATAAAAATGGCTGCAAATGATGGATATGACATTGCTCTTTATCATCTAGGCGATATTTACATAAATGGAAAGTTAGGAATGCAAGTTAATAAGGAAAAGGGCATGGAATATATGAAATTGGCTGCTTCGAAAAATAATTCTGAAGCAATTAATTATTTAAAAAGAATAAATTAATAAGAGAACCCGACAATTTAAGTATGATAAAGCTAAGCAACTTTCATTATTTAATATACAATCAGATCTCCCTAAACATAACTCATAGGAATCAACCTTTTAACAATTACGTTTAAATCACAAAAAAGTTGCATTTATGGAGGCCTATTATATATTTGGACCAAAGTTAAAAGTTTCATTTAAGTGTTTGCATTTAAGTGGTTGTATTTTGAGTTTGGCCGAATGACTGTATTTATATGATGATAATATTAGTTCATCAATAATATTCTACCCCGGCAAGTTTGGGATATTTCATACTTTAAAAATAGTGAAAATTAGAATTTTACCTTTTTTTAAAAAAACATTCGATTATAGTGCATGATAAGAGTATCTCTGCAGCTGTAACTTGCTACAATTAAATTTTCTTTTACATCAAAATAATACAAATTTAATTAGTAGTCCGCAGTTAAAGGGTACAAATTTCATAGTAAAAATCGGCGGGCATGAGACTAGTTGCCTTATATAGTAAGTGGAATGCCGTGTGCTTTCATTCCTAAGAAAAAACTCTATAGTAAATAATTAAAAAATACTCATATCTCATGATCTACCAACCCGATTACCACCATTAGAATCAGAAAAATTAGCTTTACAACTTTTATTAAAGCAAAAAAAAAAAGTTACTTAATAAAAAAATACTTTTATATGTAAGCAAGCCCCATTCCTGTACGAAATAGCCAGGGCGGCCCTCCCAAAGTGCCAATGACGTAATCACTTCAACAATTAAGTAATACTATATATATTAAATCATCACTTATTGTTAAATATATAGTATTATCTGATTGGTGAAAATGATTACGTCACTGGCACTTTGGGAGGGCCGCCCTGGCTATCTCTTCCTGTACTATAGAAAAAATATATAGATTTCCGATTTTGTTTATTATAAGATTTATCATTTCTTGTTCCCTTCAGAAACGATTTACCAATTAATACTTAAATTCGTGATCCTCCTGGAGAAATTCGTCTGATTGGTCAATTTTTATGGATCTACGCGTGATCACCCGTGATAATTAACCAATCAAATTACATATTTTTAAAAAATTCGTTCGTTTATGCAAAAGATTTAAAGAATAGATAGACGCTTGTAAAGTGGATAAAAGTGGTATGTATTATGAATAAACACATACTTATTAATACAATATATAATCTATAGCCCAAAGCTCTTTATGATTGACAACCCCAAACAAACAGCAAAAACAGAACATGATCTCTTTCTACTATAAGCCTATTCCTATTCAAAATAAATAATAATGAATAAACGATAAATATATTTTGTCTTCTGAGTAGTTTTCGGTTTGTTGATTTTTTTTTTGGATTCTTACGCGAAGGTGTTCTTCTAATGAAGTTTACAGTGAATTTTGCTAATGATCTCAAAAAGTTCTTTAAATCATATAAGTAACCCGGCAATTGATCTACGTCAGCCAATCAAACGAATTTCTTCCTATGACGACAGATCCATACTGTAACCATCATGCCGATAGAAATTGTGGTGTTCGTGATTTATGGGTTATTATGCATTTACTGTGAGTGTGAATTTGCTATCTTTATCTTTATTTAAAGAGGAATTTGGAGAGCGTATGTTATTGTGCAACCAAGGGCGAGAGCAAGAACTTATATACATGTTAATTTCTTAGAACGTGATCATATGAATTATTGAAATTTACGAAATAAAAACAGCCTGAGATAATCTTTCTAACGCTGAATTTAATTCAGCAAATTTGATTGCCTAAAAAAAAGTAAAAGTTGAATAAATAGATAAAAGTTTTAATATAGTCTGACTTCCGGAAATACATCCTCCTAAAAACAAATTGGAAGACAGGAAGATAACTCATAAATTAACCTTTTGTCTATTTAACTTTAATGTTAGGGTTAAGGCATTGTAGACACTTTTTATTGTTGTAAAATAGCTTCTTACTTTGTTATTTAATTTTTTTTTATTTCTATATTCATATACAAATGTTATAAAATACATATTGTAATAATTCTGCTTACTAGAAAAACTTATAAAAATTAATACTGTAAATTCTCGAAATAGCAGCAGGGGCGTTATTTCGGATGGGTGGTTTTGAAATAGCGCCAATGCGCGTCCAGAAATAGCGCGCACCTCGAAGAGCAAGTATCGGGTATTTGTCTCTCATCGGGGGGTTACAAATAAAAAACCAACGAAGAAAATCAATTATGGGTTATCTGTCCCTTCCGCAT